CAATATAACAAAGAGTGAAAAATTTAAGGGGGTCTGAATACTTTCCGTACCCACTGTATAGTGATATTCTCAATGTTACTCAGAAAACAGGATACAGGTTTAACTCATTCGAAATACTTCTGCTCAATGTTACACTGTCAGATATGCAAAAGAGATCTCTCCTGTCTCTTGCTCTGGCTACTGTGTATAGACCACCAGGGCCGTATACAGATTTCCTAAAAGAATTAGCAGATTTCCTCTCAGACCTATTGGTAAATGTTGATAAAGCACTAATTGTCTGAGATTTTAACATTCACGTTGATAATACAAATGATGCATTAGGACTTGCATTTACTGACCTAATAAACTCTTTTGGAGTCAAGCAAAACATCACCGGGCCCACTCATCGTTTTAATCATACGCTAGATTTAATTATATCGCATGGAATTGATCTTACTGATATAGATATCGTACCTGTATCGTAAAAAGCGCTATACAAATAAACTTGAATTGAACATTTAATACTTTAATGACATAAAGGAAAAACAAATTGAAAAAAAAATTATTAACAGATTTGCCAAGATCACATGAATTCATAAACACCAAGATGGGACAAGTACCCTCGGCATAGGTTGGCGCAGTGGACCAGTTCGTGGAGAGTTTTGGTGATAATAATGAATATTAACACAGATCATTAGATGAAATACACTGCAGTGTATACTGTATTTAGAACAATATAGTTAACAATATACACCAGGGTTTGAAAACTAGACAAAAATAAAATGAACAACAAGAAAATCAATCCACAAGATATGAATGTCTGTTGGTTTCTCTTTTATGTTTGTAATTCTTCTTTTTAAAAGTTTTAATCTTATTTATTGCTCCTACTTATTTAGATAGCCTTTAACTAATTAGTATTATTGAGCTTTAAATATGTATTAAGCTACTCTGTCTTTTTGATTAACTTTATGGTTCTTATTCTATTTTGTCTTTGGTTTAGTGTTTCCTAACACCGCTTGTTTACCTTGTCTTTGGCAA